AAAGGCCAACGAATTAAACTACAGTGCGTGGAGAAAGAAGTGCTGAGTTTATTGCGGATGATGGAAACTTGTTTTACAATGTTGGTCACTCGACACCTCAAGGTCCTGACGAGGCATTCTACATTGGCGTGGCTAGTCAGGTCTACGGAGTTACAGGGACGTCTTGGTCATTGGGCTTCCCTCTTGTCCCAATGGACTATGCAGATCGTTAAGTGCAGGAAGGGCTAGGACCAAGTACTGGGGGCGCTCGCAGTCAGTAATTACCCCTCGCAAAAGTGTGGACTCGTATTTGTCGTCAATTGCCCCCAAGAAACAGGTGCGGCAAGTGGTCGACCTCATGTGTGGATTGCGAGACAGGGAAATGAGGACCTACTCTGCAGGGCAAGACTCCAGGAAATGTCGAAGCAACATACCCTTTCCAGATTATAGCGATGGATAGTATTCCCTCTCTGCCCAGGTCGCACAGAGGAAATACCGAGTTACTGATTTGGGTCGACCTGTTCACGGGGTATGTGATGTCCAAGGCTAGTGCGTCGCGAACGGCCCATACGGTAGCTGAAGGGTACGAAGAATGCGTTTTTCGCCGTTTTGGTGCTAGCGAGGCAATCCGCCACGATCGACAGCCAGGGTTTGTGTCGGATTTCTTTCGAGCGTTTAGTCGCATGGTGGGCCAGCGTCAACAGACTACCATGGCCTATCGACCTCAGTCGAACGGTACCGCGAAGAGGATGGTTCAGACTCTGACTAGATCCATCAAGATGTATGTCTCTGATGTCGGACAGCAGCATTGGGACGAGCATGCAGAACGACTAACGTTTGCGATGAACACCGCGTAAGACCGAGCCCGGAAGGAGAAACCGTTCTATCTGGTCCATGGTTAGGATTCTAGAACCCCCTCAAGGCTACCTTACCTGTGGTAAATACGCGACGTCGAGGATCTGGACCGCGTAGATGGAGATATCATATTCAGCAACAATATTAGCGAGCGAGAGCAAAGGTGAATGAGAATCTACGAGCGGCCAATTAAGCTCGGATACTAGCCCATAACGAAGAGATGGTCGACCACAAGATCCAGCCAGGAACTCAAGTATGGCTCTACCTAGACCGCGTGAAAGAGGGTCACGCCAAGAAATTGGCCCACCACTGGCATAGACCGTTTCGAGTTCTAGAATTGGTGGGAGAGGACGCAGCACGTTTGGAAACTCGAGGCACGGAGTACAGGTAATTTTCCAATTGTACATCTGTCCAAGCTCAAGAGGGTTACCGAGTTCCCCGACCGACCGAGTGCCATGTTAGAGACAGACGAAATAGATCGGGTCGAATTTGTTGAATGCCTGTTGCCGGAGGACAGATGGACAAGAGAGATGGAAGAAGGAGAGTACAAGGTCGAGTAGATTTTGGAAGCCCGCACTGGAAAAAAGGCGCACTACGGGAGACAACAACGATATCTCCTCGTCCGATGTAAAGGGTATGGAGACCCACATGGGTGGATGAATTGGATTTAAATTGCGGTGCCTTACTTCGGGATTTTTGAACGCAAGGAGACAAGGAGAAATTGTTTCGAAGCAATGCAAAATCATGAGGACTAGAGGCAGAAGCCGAGGTTTTTGGATGGTCGACTAGAGTACATAGCGGGTATACCTCGCCTTCGGAGATTGGCCTTGGCCTATCATTGGTAGACCTTGTTCTTTCGAGGTTGACACCTGCTCCATTGTTGGTAGACTTTGGTCTTTCAAGGTAGATCTTGGTCTTGCGAGGTTGACCCTGGTCCATCAGTAGTAGACCTTGGTACATCATTGGTAAAACTTGGTCTTCTGAGGTCGACTCTGGTTCACCATCGATAGACCTTGTTCTTTTGAGGTGAATTCTGCTCTCTGTTGTGGTGAAGAAGGCGAGGTGACATAAGGTTGGAAGGTATAAGGGAAGCTGATTTTCAAGACAAAACTGAGAGGAATATGAACGAAAAAATTTTCAAGTGGAAATACCTACGGGGTGGGGACGAACTTGGTCCGGAGACGTGGTACCGAGTATCCAGGATGGGGATCCGACGAAAGCCGATACTGGGTGATCCAAGGGTAGGTGGAGTCGGAGATCTTCAGGACTTCCAGCAAATTGGCGGGATCCGACCCTCCCCCACAACCTGGAAACCAGTATACCACGCAGCGAGGTTGAGGAAGGTGCCGGAAGAAGGGATCAAGCAGGATGTCGATATCGCGCCGACCGTCGCTCGTCCCTTTGAAGATTATTTCGACGACCCCTCGCCACGCCCGAAACGCACGACCACGACGTTTCTTTTGCGCGTTATAGTACGACGAGAGGAAGGTGCTGGCGCGCGCTTGATTCCCAGAAATTTATAGGCAAAGAGTGGCCTCACAAATCGCTCGGCTGTGATCTTAGTCGAAACGCAGGTAGACCGCCTCCGACTCCGCGAACCAGCCCACTGGCTGTAAAGATACAGAAGAGGTCGGAACTCGAGCTGACAGCCATGGTCGGGTGACCAAGAGGCTCTGGAGCATTGAAGATCTGACCAACGACGGCTTCCGCTTGGAAGGTCGATCGACCTTCCCGTCTGGCGGACCGAAACAGCCCAAGGCAGTTCCAGGCGGTCGACGAAGTTGCTAGGGGTCATCGTCACGATACTCAACGAGCTGACCAGGTCGACCGACCAAGGCGCTGCCTCCGCTGCAGTGAACGATTTCACCTGCGTATACCCAAGGATGAAGCCACCTTTCGGAAGTGTAGGTGACTTACCTGTGGCGGAGTGCGCTTTGTCCACTGTTGAGGGGGCCTTCTTTCCCGGAACCGACTCGGTCTTTGAGTCAAAAGATCCGAGCATGGCTCAGAATAATTCTGGACCCGGAAGAGTAACCGGTTGGGGAACATAATCAGTCGATGCAGCTGAGGGCAGCGGATCGGTTGGCGTGGAGCGACGCCGGGATGACCACGACCGAGCTAAGGTCGCCCAGACCACTTCGCTGAAGTCGCTGCAGTGTCGTCGTCCGGGTTAGGTGAAGAAGCCGAAGGTAGATCACGGGAGCTTCCCGACTTGGGAGCTGACGAAGCGGGAGTGCTGGTGGTACTCGACTTGGTAGACTTGGAGACATTGGCGGTCGTCTCAGCCGATGGGCGTTGAGGTCGCTTACCTGACACCGGTGTAGGAGGCACTGTGGAGGTAGTCACAGGAGGGACGACGGGATCCTTGAGTGGATTTGTGACGCAATCCTCGTGCTCTAACTCCACCACCATGAGAGCGTATCGGCTCTGGAGGTAGTCAATTCTATACCGCAAGTGATCCACCATCGCTCTCTCATGCTGTAGACCCTCTCGCAACTGGACCACGAGGTTGTTTGTGTCTAGCAACTCTCTCTTGAGGCGCTCACACCTGGCGGTCCAGCAGGCGTCGGGGGCGAGGACGGAGGTAGGTCGACCCTCGCACGCCTCAATTATGTGGCCATACGCGCTTAGGCGGTTCTGTAGGTCGCGAAGCATCTGATGTACGCTATGGGTTCACCCATCGCAGCCTCTCATCACCTACGGCTTCGGAAGAAACCGTCGTGGACTCCCTTGGTCCTGGCGCCCGGAGAGAAGTGCCGATCGGCATTCGGGATGGAATCTGGGCCTCTGGGTCAGTAGCGAGTGCAGGAGTGACCAAGACCGACTCCTCAGGTGGTGGGTCTACCCCAGAGAAAAGAACAGCTAAAGTCACATCAAGTCAGATAACAGATATCAATCACCAAAAAAGCTAGGAGTACTTACCGGATGCAGAATTCGAAGGCATTCGCGTGTTCAAGCGGCTGTACCATTGACCAAGTGCAGAGGGTGACTGTAGTGAAGCATTTCACGAACTGGGAGGTCAGAGGACCAGTGGATCAAAGAGAAAGGGACTTGCCAAGAAGGAGCGACCGTTGGGTAAGGGACAGAGAGACCGGGCGCTAAAGGGGACGAGGAAAGACCGTTGAATGAGAATAATTCACGGTCAAAGTGTGCTAGTTAGCCACCATTCAAAGGATTAATTGCGGTTAGCCCGGTGGACCACGGTTCCTCAAGGTGGACCCCGGCCCTTCAAGGTCGAACCTGGTCTATCATTGGTACACCTCCACAAAGATTGATCTTGGCCCTTCGGTCGATGGGCTCTCGGCCCCGGTCCCTGAAGGTAGACCTTGGTCCTTTATCAATGGACCTCGGTCCTTAGTCGATAAACCTTGGCCCTTCGGTCGATGGACTCTCGTCCCGGTCCCTGAGGTCGACCTCGGTCCAGAGGTCCAGATACCTTAGCCAAGCAGAATCAAGAATCAGGTCTCGGAGTTAAGATTAGAGTAAAGGAGGTCAAAAAAATAGGACTATATCAAACACTACTCAATTTGTGATCTACGTAGCACGCCTCCGTCGTGATCTCAAGGAACTTACATACGTCTACCCACCTGTTCCGGGAAGGGATACTTCTTGGCCCCACAGTCGTGTGGTAAGAGTCAAGTGCGAATGGAGCTCCAGGATACATTTGGCCTGTGGTTCGTCTGAGTAGCACCCACCAATTCGATCCTCTATCGAAAACGGTCTCCCTACCCTAGTGGTCCGGGAGCAAGTTAGGTCCAGGCGGTTAAAACCCCTGAGATATCAAGGAAAAGGCCAGGGTTGAGTATCTTCCCTGAAGAATTTGGTTATAAGCCCACCCTCGACCTAGTCGACCGAGTGGCCACCTACTAGCCGAGTAAAGTATATCCACTCGAGGCACCCCAAGGTCGACCTCTCTCAAGGCCGACATCACATCTCAACCAAGTCCTTCCGAAGAGTGCAACCCGACAGCCGACGGGTACACAAGGTGAGAGAAGGTCTATATACGGCATAGGGTACCCCCTTCAACAGTCGGCAGTCCGGCACAGTGAGTGGCTTGGGGTCTCATTACGCAGTTTTGAGAACCCACTCCACCACAGAGTCATGAACACACCTCTGCTAGGAAGCACAAGCGCTTTTGGCGCGGATATTGGTTTGAGTCGGTCAATATGTTGGATGTCGGGTCATCCGACTTTGTATACAATGCTATTGTCGAGAACAATATTCTTGGGTGAGGCCCAAGGACTGATGATAGTGTAGTTGAGAACTCACTAGATGGCACATATGACATGTGTCAGGAGAATGATTGTTACATCATTAAACACCGTGAGTGGTGTTGGTGTGTGCAAGCCAAGATGTCAGGACACGAGTCCAAGTGACATGAGTGACGAGGAACTGACCCTGGAGGGCCGGGTGAAGTCACAAATGGATGTTGTCTTTGAAAACAACGAGGTGCATGCACCTAACGACGAGGTACTGACCCATGAGAGTGGGGTTCAGTCAGTAAACGAAGTGGTCTTTGACCTTGAGGTGTGTACACCTATGGACGCTAATGATGCGTCGGATGCTGAGAGCATCCTGAGTAGCGATGATGATATCGTGAGTGACGGTGATAGCGAAAAGATATATGCACTCGTCAATGGTTTGGCTGGGAATGTTGAAGAGCCGGTGACTCTTTCAGCTGGGCCCGCAGTAAGTGCTCTGTTAGAGCTGGACGGGCTGTCTTTTGCCGAGTTTTGCAGTGCCTCACAGGCAGGCGAAATCGCCGAAGTGGTCGTTTTACGACCTGAGGGGGAGTTAAGCTCCTCATCGCTTTTGGATAAAGCAGTACTTGAGGATACCAAGAAGGCGCTGAATGCGCGCAGTGGATCGCAGATCTTGAATGACCCTTCGGATCCTTACTTTCCTTTGTTGAAGGAATATGGTGATGTTGTCTCTAAAGAACCGCCTAAGAGATTACCTCCGGATATATGTGTACGTCATGAGATTGACTTGGTTCCAGGAACCAAATACTATGTGATGCGACAGTGGCCGCTGCCACGAAAGCAATTTGACGTCGTTTACGAGTTCTTTCGTGCAAAGCACGCGGCTGGCATGGTGCGTGAGAGTAAGTCTCCTCACTTTACGCCCACGTTTTGCGTGAGATAGCCTAATGGGAAGTGACGAATAGTGCATGCTTAAAATATGATGAATGCAGCCACTATCCCGGCTCAAACACCGATTCCTCGCAAGGATGTTCTCCAGAACAATATGGTGGGATGTACGATGTGCAGTGCTCTCGACTTAGTCGATGGATGTTACCAACTGCTCATGCTAGCTAGTGATATCCCGCTGACAGCGGTCAGCACTTCGATTGGTATGCTCTGGGAGTGGTTGGTGATGTCCAAGGATGTCTAACGCACCTGCAACGTTCAATCGTCTAGAGACACAGTTGTTTCGGCCCCATAGGGCGTATGAAGAGACATACTTTGACGATATATTCGTCCGCAGTCGAGCCGAAAATGGAAAGACTGATGTGGAAAATCACATCGAACACCTGCGATCTGTGCTCGGTGCATGAGGATGCATAAGTAATATGCTAATATTGACAAATGCATCTTCGGTGCGGAAGAGATTTCCTTATTGGGATGCTTCATTGGGAAGCGAAGAATCCGGGAAGACCCTGTTAAGGTCAAAGCCATAGCGGATTGGCCGGTTTCGAGGAGCCAGAAGAACCTCCGCAAGTAGTTGGGCTTGGCAAATTACTTGCATAAGTATAGCCACAACTACGCGGAGGTGGCTAGGCCATTATCAAATCTCCTTAAAAAGGATGTGGAATGGTGTTGGAACACCGAGCATCACAAGGATTTTGAAGCCATTGAGGAGTGTCTCCTTCAGGCGCCAATTCTGGCCCTGCCTGATCCTGATCGCCCGTTTAGCGTCGTGTGTGAAGCTTCGGAAATTTTCATTGGCAGTGCACTCTTGCAAGTTGACTCTAAGGGTTGAGAACGTGTCATCTCGTTTGAGTCTCGTCAGATAAAGCTGCGGAGAAAAACTATCCAGTTAATGATAAGGAACTATTTGCGACGAAGTATGCCCTTCTTTAGTTCAGGGTACACCTGTTGGGCTCAAAGCCGTTTGTGGTCTATACCAATCATGCGTCGTTACGCACAGTCACTCAGTCGCCTCATCTCTCGCAGACCATGGCTCGTCGGCTCTCCTTTTTTGCGAGTATAAATTCGAGGTGAAGTCGTACTCGTTGTGCTATCGGGGCTGCTCCAACAACGTCAATGCCGCAAACAGCTCCACGTGCAGCCGGAGGTAATGCGTTTCATTTTCTTATTTAAAGGTAACGGCTTCTCCAGATCAGCTAGCGTAGCTGTTCTTGATCAGTTGTAAGAGGTATACATGTATCGCCGACTTGAATATCAGCGATCGTCACTTCTACCGTAGGGGCGACCACACCTCTGATAGGTCAATCTCTTCCAACATCCACGATCACTATGCTTGACCGACGTTCACAGTAGGACACGGATTCGGCGATCCAGCTTGATTGTTACCATTACTATGTTGGGACCTTTTCTTCCTGATCCACGATCTGTGGGACCCTTCGTGCGATCCGCTGAAGCAGCGACGCAAACGTTTCGTTAATCCGCATCTGAATCCAATCCATTAGTTTCTTAATCTGATTCTCGGCTGTTACATTCAATATGAATCGATTGCACTGCGCGGGCAGGTTTTGATGGTGTTGGATAGGGTGGGATTGCAGATCGCTGGCGAAACTTGCTCAATCTCATAGATGCTTTACCTTGACGAGACATCATACGTTGATACGCACGTAGCGTTTCCTCCATGGCATCTGCATTTTCCAATCGTAATAGCGTCAGCTCAAATTCGCGATCATCCAAAGTTTCGATGTAATGTACTACATGTTCCCGACGAGCAGTGAGTGATCCATCTCGTAGTGAAGCCTCTCTTTCGCTCCCGCCACGTTCAATCGATACAGATACTCCAAATGAGCTTCATCTGATTATTTCCACGAATGATAATAGTCTGGCAGATACACCATATCCTTCATACTGAATCATGAAACTTTACAAGAGTGATTTCCAAGTGTTGCGCGACGATCTGATTGACTGGGCATACGAGTTTCAAGCCAGTACCGTAAGTGAATAAAAAAAACAAGCACTTGTCCACATCTAGTGCCTGATCGTGTAGGAACGCAGACATGACTTTGCTGATCCAATTTCTGGCTCAATCTTTGTCCTTGTCTCTTCCGGTAAACTTTATCAGATCTGCAATCGCCGAGGCTCGAGTACGCTGAGTAATAACTCCTCCTCGACATAGTCTCTGCAGTCGCTTTAACGGTCGTCGAGGATCATCCAGGCCACGATCGTCAGGATCGTACTCGTGTGAACGCCGAGCACGTGATCCCACTGATTCCATCTCAATATCCGGAACGCACAATCGGCAATCCGGGGGATTCTTGATCGATCATCTGGAGCGATTATCCCCTGTCTGGTCTGTTTTTCGCAAACAAACTTCTCATAGCAGCATCAAAATACGATCGTAACTGGCCGGTTCTATACTTTCAAGCATGGGTTTGATACCTGATCGCGGCTCGGCATTGATACGAATCTTGCGATCACGCAATGATGCTGCACCTGTAGGTCCGGGTGACATCCTTTTAATCTTGTTCGACTCTTCCGAGTAGGCTTCAGATTCTGCCGAGGCGAACTGCATAGATCCAGTGTGGTACTCATTCGTATTGTCTTGTTCCTGTTTGTTCAGGTGATCCGTCAGTTTCTTCACACCAGTCATAGGAACTAACTTCTCAAACAGCGATCGCGCTGCGTCGATCACCTAATCGTGATTGCAATCGAGTAGTTTGTGGGCTTCGAACGATCCAGCAGCGAAACCAGCATCTTGTAACAGCTGCATCAGCTGGAGGATCTTGTTCAACGTGTTCGTCATCGGTGTCGGTGTCAACACTGGACCTTTCAACGCTCCGATCAGCTTTGGCTTCATGATCTTTAGCACAGGATCATTCAGCAATAGCGCATACAATTCTTTCCAATAAAACTCGTGGCTTTATGATCCAGCTGCCATCCCTCCCACTTAATACTATCGCCTTCATCCACAAACTTGAACGGACGTGCATGATCCAGCAACTTCACTTGGTCATCTTGATCCACAGACTTGACTGGATCGCCATGATCGGATGACTTGACTGAATCATACTGATTCGATTCTGCTGCTCGAAG